CGACACCGGCCTCGCCGCCCGCGTGGGGACCCCGCCTGCAGCCGGGCACCCACCGCCCTCCGCGCAACTCCGCATCAGTTTTGGGGGGCCTCCGGGCGGTGGCTGCGTCCCCAAGTCCCACTGCCATTGTCGAGCTCCTTGTTTACCTCCGACTCGGGCTGAGTGAGAGCTTGGCGACTTTTGGGGGGAGGGGGCGGGGAGCAAGTGGCCGCCGAGGCGGCGGCGGCGGGGTTGCCCTCGGATCTCCCCCTCCCCCCTGCTCTTCCCTCCCCGTCGGTGCTCCCGGGCGCTCCGGGTCCCAGCGTCCATGGGCAGGGAGAGGGTCCCCGGGGCTGTTGTCGGCGACGCCGGCCTCCCAAGTGGCCTCCTAGTGCCTTCCCGGGGCTCTTGGCGCGACCCTCTGCCCCTCACCCTCTCAGGCCCCTGCTAGATACCTTCGGTGGGGGTGCGAGGCGGTGGGGAAAAAGTTTAAGGTTTGTTAATCGCAGTCGCGATTGTTGAGGAGGGGGAGGGGGCGGCTGGGAAGAAAGCGAGGTGGCCTTTCCCTGGCGCTCCGGGGTCTCGGACGAGCCTGGCAGGGTGACACCAAGCGGACTTTAAGCGCTCTCCCAGGAGCTCAGCAGGAGGAGGGGGCGAGGGTACCTTTTTCCCCCCCTCTCCCAACCATTCCTGGGGTCCTTGTCCGCAGTGATTTTTTTTCCTCCCCAGTGCCACCAGTGTACAGCTCCTAACGGGTTCCGCTTTGTTTTTACGACTCCCCCCACCCCCACCGAATCACTTGTCAGATCAATTTTACCTTCTCCCTCCTCCCTACTTCCCACTCTCCCCTCCTCCCCTTCCAAACCCTGTTCTCTGAGGTTAGACATTTTACAAGCTCGCTATGCTGTTTTTCGAATTGTGACTTTTTAAAGCCCCCCCCCCATATCTACTCTTCTGGCTGTTTATTTTTGCCCTTCCCCCCGCTTAGCGGGGCGGGGGTAAGGAAAGAGAAAATAATACAATTTCAGGGGAAGTCGCCTTCAGGTCTGCTGCTTTTTTTTTTTTTTTTTAATAATAATAATAATAATAAAAAGGACATAGAAAACACCAGTCTTGAACTTCACTTCAAGAACCCGGGCTGCAAAGGAAATCTCCTTTGTTTTGTTATTTATATGCTGTCAAGTTTTGAAGTGGTGAGTTTCAGGTTGGTTTTGCTAATTTCACTCAGTAAAACTGCAGCTTTGCTGTTGCTAGATAGTAGTTTGTTTCTTTGTCTCTTTAAAAGGTCACAGCGAAAGCTTGGCCTGGATCGGGCCGGCCATATGGAATGGATAAGGGCACGGGTTCTTAAAATGTGCTTCTGGGGTTCTGTCGGGAAGAAAACGACCCTAAGAGGAACTCTTTGAAAAGGGATCCCACAATGCAAAAAAAAAGGGGGGGCGGATACATACTTTCTTTAAACCAGAATTTCTTGATTTTATTTCCTGCTTTTTAAGGGAAATAATTATTGAGATGGAGTTCACCAGCACGTTCCAGAAAGGATCCTCTGTGGTCTTAGTTTACTGACAGGGAAATGGGACTTTCGGAAAGTAGCCTGCTTTCTGTGTGCCATCCATACATTGCTCTAAAATGGCTTTTAAAATATGTTACTCAAAATCTTGAGATGGGCATTGGTTGCGATCACATTAGTCGCTGTTGTGAGTCCAGGCAGGCCTGTTGGCAGTGGCTAGATTCAGCTCCAACTTGAGGTTTGATGAACTTTCGCCTTGGCATAGACTTTAAAGGAGTATTAAATTGGGTGTTTTATGTGCATGTAATTTTGCTTTATAATGCAAACCTTTTAGAGAATGACTTAGTGTCTAGTAGATGGCTATTCAGAAAACAGTTTTCATGACCTATGTGATATTTTGACTGTCAATACACTAACTAAATCGAACTCTACCCCTTTCTTTTGCTGTGCATACAGCTCATAGTGCTGCTGACCTCGTGACCACCTAATATGTTCTGTAGTATTAACTTTGATGCTGTTGTGAATTCCCCTCCCCCTTTTTTCTCATAAGTTGCCCCAAGGGTTAAATTTTTTCTGTTCAATTCATACGTTTTGAAATTCATCTTCTGCTCTAGGGTAAGGCAACCAATTTTAGAGAAATCAGCCTTGCATTATGATCCACATGAAATGTAAAGAATGTTTTGAATAACTTAATAACCATCACTCTAATTTTGGCTTTAGACTGCTGCTTAAGATAATGGAAAGGAGTGATCTTGATAAAAAGTGATTTTAAAAGATGCATTTATTGTTAATGAACCCCATAACAAAAACAGATGGACCTGAATCAAGGGTAAACCTTGAGTTCTCAGCGTGCCGCCCTCGAGTACAAAGATTAATAACTATTATTATTATTTCTCAAACTTTGTAGTTCTTGGTTTGTCATTCTTAATGCTGCTTTAAGCCCCCAGATCGCATGCCTGTCCCCGTTTCTTGATTCTATAGGATGAAGTAGGACGGACTTAATGAGAGAAAACTGTTTATAGAAAAGCCATGCTAATACAAACTGTCTCTCAGCTGATCCAAGTCCATGGAGTTTGAGTATAGTAATTATTTTTTAAAGTATATAAGATATTTCAAAATACTAGACAGCTGGAAAGAGTGCTGTCATATCACCTCTGGCTTTCCTAAACATCCCCAATGCTTCCAGGCAATGAAAGATCATAACGTAATTTTGCTTACCTGTTCTGTTTACCTAGCCCTATTTAAAAATATAATTTAGAAGTAACTTTGGTATATTGTACCAGTTGCTTTATTATAAACAGCATTCAGAATTGAAGTCTAATATTTAATAAAACTGAAAATTCACATTTTTCTGAAATTATTGATGCTAACTTCCTTGCATCCTGATTATTTTTTAATACTGGAGGTTGTGTTTTGTCAATACTATTAGGATTATTTTTTAAATTGAGCTTCACACATCCACTTTTTGGATCACAAATCACAAAATATTTTCAGGGTTTTTTTCTATTTAAATTAACAGCACCCTGTTAGCAATGGACACCAAAATATTAACTCCAAAAGACAAGTTGTCCTGCTAAAAGATAGGAGACATTTAAAGGAGCCCTTCACTCCTTCCTGTGTGCTTAGAGGTGAAATGATCCAGTCACATGTTTGTCCAGGGCTTGAGATCTTTAACAGCACGGAACTCTTGAAACTTAGCTGATAGAAAACTTCTTGCTGCCTTAGCTCATAAGCAAGTGGCAAGTTAAAAAGCGTTGGGTGTTCGTGGTCTTCTGCTGAGGTTTTCATTTGTAACATAGACTGCAGTGTGTGTTAGAGTGTGAGCTCCTAGTAAACTTGATGCTTTACACTGATAATCTTTCCATCCTTCATTACAAGTATTGCAGTCATAGTCTGTCATTCATTTTTAATTTTTAAAAATTGAGAATGCATGAGTATAATTTGTTATTTTCTTTTTACCTTGTGGTATTCTTGTTCTGAAAGTAAGCCCATTTTCCTCAGAGTTTTAGCTGAGAAATTACTTTTTTATTCCTGTATGTTGGTATAGGTTCCACAATATTCTATTAATTCCTATAGAAGCACACAGTCTATAAATCATTACGTCGTTGCACAAATGTGTTTTGTGGAGGGAAATGTCTAGGGATGAGACGTGTATGGGGCAGGCATAACTACAGCCCTCCACCCACTGATAACGTCTTCTTTTCCAGTTCTGGCAGGTGATCTGTAAGACAGTGACTGAGTATGGATCATTTGAACGAGGCAACTCAGGGGAAAGAGCATTCAGAAATGTCTAACAATGTGAGTGATCCGAAGGGTCCACCAGCCAAGATTGCCCGCCTGGAGCAGAACGGGAGCCCACTAGGAAGAGGAAGGCTGGGGAGTACAGGGGCAAAGATGCAGGGCGTGCCTTTAAAACACTCGGGCCATCTGATGAAGACCAACCTTAGGAAAGGTAAAGACTTGCCAGCCAAACCCTGGAAAGCTGCTTGGTGTCTGCCCAAGGCCACCCTGTGTGGAGGTGGAGGGCTAGAACATGCTGTGTATATTCTTTTTCTAGATCTCTTTCTGATGTGAAATGAAGTGGCGTTCTGGGCTGTAGTGTCAATCGTGTTTTGAAAGCGTGAGTGCTGTTTTTGAGTGGTGCCTCTCTCTACCCAAGACCGGAAGCATTAGAATATTTGGATAGTCTTCGTTTACACAAGATCCATTTGTAGATACTACTGCATTTACAGATGTGCAGGTGGCTGCTGCTTGAACTTACCCTGATGAAGAGTAAGACACTGAGGTTGCTTGAGAATTACCATAGGTTGTTTTTTTCCCCCAAGATTACTAACTGTAAGGGGATTTCAGGACATGGATCTGACATGAGATCAAAGATTTGTGATGTAATTTATTGTGGTTTATTTTCTGAAGAGCAAAGTAATTATTTAACAGTGGAAAAACTTGCTGATTCTAGTTGTTAATTTTTGCTATACTTGAGTATTTTTGGTAAAGGAAAGGAAAATTTAGGCAAGTTTATAAAGGGAAAAAATATAAACAAGTGGTTTTCTACCAAAATTAAATTGATGGAATTTTAGCAACTTTGCCTGTGTTGGACATTGTTGTCCCAACAGGGTGATTCCTATGTGGGTGTCCTTTGTGCCTCACAGGGGTCTTTATTTGTCATTGAATAACACATAAGGGTAGTCAGACTTTTTGTGCTTTTGCTAAGCAAAGAATAAAATACCATCTTTTACCAACCACGAATATTAAGTAGAGAAAGTTAGGGGCTGAGGAATTTCATTGTGTTTGATGCATAACATTTATCATACAATCATTTATTTTTTTCCTTGGTTTGGCGAAAACAAAGAATATATTGATCCTGAAATAAACAGACACAGCAGTCCGTATTGTTAGATCTTTATCTATTAAAAATGGAAAAACAGCACTTCAGCAAATTCTTTGGCCTCTACTCATGATTACCCTATTTATTGATTGTTTGCCAAGAATGTATGCATCTTTAAGCCAGGGTAAGAGCATTAAAAATATAATTTATTATGGCTTTTCAAACAGAGTGCATTAATATTGTACTGTGTAGCGCTGAGGCTCTATAAAAAAGGCTTCCTGACGCCTGCAAACACACAAGTTCCATAAATTCCTAAATAGGAGATTTCAGCTGTCTCTGGTATTATGTGATATTTGCACAGCAAACTTTAATGCCAGGACAGTTTTAGACAAGGATTCTACAGACTCCACTGCTCCTTATGGCAGCCGTGCTGTTTACACAGGCTCATAAACCTCCAGCAAAAGCCTCTAAGACTGCCTTCAGGTTTAAATCATGTGGTATTTTTAGCTTTCAGCAGTGACCAGTACTCTCCCCTTCTAATGCAGGAAGGCTATGGAGTTGCTGTAGTTGGAAGTCTGGCCAAACACCAGCTCGAATAATCAGGCAGTCCAGCGAAGGCTCCTGTTTAACATTACCCCCTAACAGGAGGGCAGCCGTGACAGTTCTTGAGACGATCTAGCACTGGGTTTGTAATTAGATGATCCTGTTGCTACCGTATCCGTAGCCACCTTTATTATCTATAAGGCACCTTTAAATTTGATCAATAAAACACAGAGTCAATCCAGACTGTTTCAGTGGTTTGAAAGGTTTCAGTTATTTCACAGAGCTGAGGTCTGAAAAGCTGCTCCCTTTGACACCTCTGTTTGAGTCCATGAGAAGAGAAACCAATATACATGTTTTTGGCTTGGTACCCCAACTCCACAGACACCCGTAGACAGGAAGAAGGAGCCAGAACATGGTCATCTCATTCCTGCCCAAATGCTTTAAAAAATGTATTATATTCAAAATCCCATATCTTAAAAATGCAGCTTAATTATAGAAGGTTCTGTGCTTGATACAAAAAGCAAAAAATTATAAGCCTTTCAGTAGTTTTTTTCCCCCTTTCTTTAAATCTTATTTTTCATGTGCATGGTTTCTGTTTGACAGGTGCTAGATAAAAATTGTGGCTAAGCTGAGAAAGCACTGAAAAAAAGGGCTTGGGTGTTTTTATTTGTTTAAGAGATTTTGCCAAAATACCTTCAAGCCAAGGAAGAAATCACCAGTTTGCATATTGCTATTTTTGCTGCGGTCTCCCCAAGTTCTCTTCTGATCCCTGACGGGTTCTCTCTCTGGTATAAAACAGCTGAATGAATGACAAGAATATTGGCAAGCTCTGCGGCTTGTTTTTCATGCCTAGCCTGCTGGTACTTCCGAATGAGTTTGTGAGCTTTTCTAAGTAAACCTAAAGGGGTTTAATTGTCAGAGCTGGAATCTCTTGTGAACAGTTCACAAAGCTTTGGTGAAGACACACATGTGGAAAGATGTAGCTGTTTTATGGCCGGCTTTTGTTCAGCAGAAACAAGCAAATAGAGAATTTGTAAAGGGTCTCTCTGGCAATAGGGAATGCTGATCCTCAGCAGCGATCGACGTGCACTTAAACCTTCAGAAGTTAGTAGGGATCTGCAAGTCCAGTGTGAGTCCAGTGTATGGAGCCGACACAGGCAGGGATACTGTAGAACTAATTGGGGATCCTGGGTGCCCTGTTAAAGTAACCCTTGTCATCATTTATGCTAAAGATGATACCCTCCTGGCAGTGTGCCACAGTACTGTTCAGATGCATCTGTTTTTAACCCTTTCCTGTAACTGTTGGGAATCTGACAGTGCACTGCATTATTACCTTGAGTGCCACTGCAGATGGCTTCCAGGCTTCTAGACCAAGCCTCTTTGCCCACAGTGGTGTGGGCTGTGCCACTGAGTTACTGCACTGGATGGAAGTAAGGCAACAGAGAAGCTCAGACCCATGCAGAGTCTGCTTCTCGTGCATCTCAGTAACCTCAGTAACGCCAGTTTTCCTTTCCCTCCCTGCCAGTCTTACCATTTTTCCTGTCGCAGAAATTAATGTTAAAGACTTACGGCTGCTGTCAGGTCTTTCTCCTCAGGTAGATGGAGTGAGTAGTCATAAAAGTGTAAGTTTTCTACATTATGTGCATTGGAACAGTGCCTGTGAGCATCGGTTTGGCTAAGTTTTGTGTTCCTTCTATGGAACCAGTTAGAGGAAATAATGAAAAGGACAGGAAAATAATTGTATAGTCAGATAATTTGGACACAAGCGAGTGGAATCTGTTATTAGCAGAAGCATGTATGCAGTACAAAGGTGGGTCCCATGAAGACGAGTGCAGTTCTGTCGCATACCGTAAGGTCCTGACAGCAAATTAGACCAGACACTTATTTGTCTCTCATCAGCATTATTGTTCGGTCAGAGAAGTAATTCTGCATTCACTGCTTTGGAAGACGAACTGTTAAAATGAGAGGCGAGCCTGTGTTACCGTAGGACCAAGTTCAATTGAAGGAAATTAAAGCATTTCCTTTGCAACTTTCAAACAGCGAGTGACTGCATGCTTGTGTGTGTGCCTGTGTCTCTCCAGTCTGCCTGGGAGGCTCTGACTCCTCTCACTGTGGTGAAGATTTATTTTCATAGCTTAGGTGTTCCTCCTCCAGACTGTTTCTGAAGATTGTTGGTGTTCTGTCTTTCTCTCTGTCTTTTTGATAGGAACCATGCTACCAGTTTTCTGCGTGGTGGAACATTATGAGAACGCCATTGAGTATGATTGCAAGGAGGAGCATGCAGAGTTTGTGTTGGTGAGAAAGGATATGCTTTTCAACCAGCTGATCGAGATGGCTTTGCTGTCTCTAGGCTACTCGCACAGCTCGGCTGCCCAGGCCAAAGGTAATGATGCGCTTGTGGGGCTGGGAAGTTGCTGGTCCTCCTGTTTGCCTCTCACACAAAGCAGAGAACATTTTATTCAAAGAGCTGCAGCCTGTGCCTTATGTTGGTCCCTTATAGACTGTGGCTTTAAAAATTGGCTTAATTCAGTTTGGTTTAGTTAACACACATTTTGCTCATGTGGAATGTCGAGGTAAATTTTTTTTTAAAATTACTTCAGCTGAATCATTAGTATGCTTATTGACCTTAATAATCTGCTCCACTGAGGACCCACAAGGAAGTGAGGAGCGTATTTGAGCAGATGGACTGTTGAGAGTCAATTTGCATTTATGACTGAATATCTAGTTCTGTTTCTTTTATTCTGTTTCTGATGGTTTTATGGGCTGTAAAGTATTTTTCAATGTTGATTCCCACTGCAATAGGGAATCTTATCTAAATCATAAAGCCATTTAGAACCGGTTCAGCTATGTCTTATTAGAACTTCCTGTAAGTTAGGACAATGTGGCCTGATGCATAGGTTTTATTGATGGGTATTTATTTCCAAAATAATAAACAGCTCCTATAGTCATTTACATAATTTCACAATTTGGAAAGCTAAGCTGCAAATATCTTGATTGACCTGCCTTTTTGAGGGAAAGGGAATCATTCAAACAGAAATAACAATATTGCTTGTGGTGGGGGCAATGAGGAAGAGCAGAGCAACCTTTTGCTGGGTCTGAGAGTCAGCACTGAGCATGTCTTCTCTTTATCTGGACTAGGGCTCATCCAGGTGGGGAAGTGGAATCCAGTTCCACTGTCCTATGTGACAGATGCCCCTGATGCTACGGTAGCAGATATGCTTCAAGATGTGTATCATGTGGTCACGCTCAAAATCCAGCTACACAGGTGGGTGCAGGCAGCAGTTCTAAGGGGAATTCTCTCCCTACCTGGGTGGACATAAGGCTTCTCGAGCCAGCTTGCAGTTTTTGTTTACTCAGCATTTGAGACCTGCTAATCCAAATTAATTTGGTAACTTTAGCCCTTCAGTTATTTTCTCCAACTTGGCCACGTAGGACTCTAAAAATCAACTCCCTCCCTTGAAATTCCTGCATTTTTTGCATGCTATCAAAAAATAAGACTTTTTACTTTTAGTCAATTAAATGATGCATTACAAGAAGGCATTTTACATAAAGTTTACTTAAGAAAAAAATATTTTTGCATATCATGAACAGTGCCATCTGTGTACATTTTGTGAAAGAATGCTTTATTCGCTTTGCCATGATCTTATTTACTTATATCTGTGTTTTTGCCATTTTAATTCGTATGAACAGAGTAGTGGGAGGAAATCAGTTAATACGTTAATGCTTTTCACGGTGGCTCGTGAGAAAGCAGTACACCTTAAATTGTCTTCCCAAGCGCATCAGAGCAGGAAGGTAGAAGTAACATGAAAAAATAGCCACCACAGGCAGCTGATGTATAATTCATGCATCGATACAGCAGATGTGTTGTATAAAGTAATTAACTAATCGGAACAATCAGGAGACCGAGAGCAATCTCCAGATGCATCTGTTTGATTCGCAAAATGAAATCTGTCTGTCTTAAAGGAATGTTCTGCAGCAGGATGCAATCCTGTAATAATCCCCTTTCTAATCTATGTCTCAAATAGTTGCCCCAAACTAGAAGACTTGCCTCCTGAACAATGGTCGCACACCACAGTAAGGAATGCTCTGAAGGACTTACTGAAAGATATGAATCAGAGTTCGCTGGCCAAGGAGTGCCCCCTTTCACAGGTACTCAGCATAGTGTGTCATAATAATAAGACATCATGGGCAGCTACCACTTGAGGTCTGATGGGGATCCCTGGTTTCAAGCAACTGGTATCTGAAGCAAGAATTTGCTAAAAATGCTAAGTGATTTGACCACTGGTAACCTTTGAAAATCTGCCTTATTCATTCTGAGCCGAGTTTTTATGCCCTTTCTCCCTTGGGGCAGGGGGTAGGGGGCTGTGCCCAGGAAAAACAGTCCTGCAGAAGACACCACACTGCCAGCTCGTTCTTAGATCCACTTCTGAGTACCCGCGCCCTCTCTAAGGCAGACTCACAGTGGCAGGACCTGCACAGCTTTGGTTTAGGGATGATAGTGTCAATGTTACTGTGCACAACTTCAGCATGCTGGCTACATAAAATCACGGTACCATTGTATGGTGTTTGCTCTGTTATAAAAAATGAGAAAGTGTTTGCTGAAAATAATTGTAAATTATATATGTATGTTAATTATAAATATAAGAAATCTCTTGCCTGGAACAAAAGGTCCATAATTATTGCCCATTAGGAGTTTATAACCAATTTTGAAGAATTAGTTCACTTTTTAAAAATGGACATTTTTTTTTTCTTGAGATGCCTGTTTTACCATTGGGATTTTTGAAATGAGACAGATTTATTATTGTTGCATTTCATTTTCTGGAATGAATTTTGGTCGAGGGCAAATAAAACTCTAGGTTGTTGCCAAGTTTGAAACCAGACATCCTCTCTGCTAGCCCTCGGCTGGCTAACGGTCACCACAGTGTATGGAGCAGCAACACTGCCCAGCACCCACTGGGTGCTAAGTCATCCTGTGATGCAGTGTTAACTGGCGTGCTTGTTTAAGGTTTTCGTCTAATTCTAGTGTGAAATGTAATTATGAATATTAGTCTGCCAATCATTTGAACTTGTATTACTCTGCACAAGCATTTCTGGAGTGAAGAGGGTCTCAGAGCTTGTTTTTATGACACTGAGTCATAGGTATTTGTTCTGTGTATTTTCAGTCCAAGGCTCATGAGGATTTCTGGATACCTGAAGGGGAAGCCCATGGCCCCAGCCACTGCTTCGCAGCAGTCCATGCATTCAGCCTTGCTCCAATACAGGCCTCCAGCTCTGCTTTGATGTTAGTTAGCAATTTAGGAAAGGAGCAATTCTAGATTAAGCTATAGCCACAGATTACCTGTTCTTTGTGATTAAATGATCATTTTTCTTGTGTTTGAGAACAAACTTTAAAAACTCATTCATTTATCCCATCAGCTATCTGTCTTGTTGTTCTTGCCCTTGAAATAGAGAAGATTCGAATTTATAACCAGAAAATAAAAGTAATTTAAATGAATTTTCAACAGTTAAGTCAATCTGATGGCATCATGAAGCCTAGTGACTTACTTCTGGGACTATGTTGTGAAGACAACTCCAGAGAACGTATTGCTTGGTCATTAACATTTGAAAATTGGAAGAGTGACCTAGAATGAACAATTTTGTTGTTGTTGTTGTTGTTGTTGTTGTTGTTTTTACTCAGAATTCTAAATACCCCATGTAGCAAAACCTTGTACCTTCATGTGACCCAGTGTCCCACTGATTTTGTAAGTCAGCTCAGGCAAAGACTAGAGGTCTGTTCTGTGAGCTGGGGATGAGGATCTGGTGCAAGTCTTTACTGCACAGTCACATGTAGCCAATGAACTCCACCTCTTGTACTGTATACATTAATTATGGATTTGCTTAATGCCACCAGGAGAAATGAACTGAGCATAGATGGTTATCACAGTAAGCAGAGTGACAAAAGGAAATCGAAGGCTTAGTCTTGGAGCTGGTAGCTGGTGAATTTCTTTCTTTCTCTCTCTCTCTTTTTTTTTTTTTTTCTGAGTTTTTGAGACAGGGTTTCTCTGTGTAACCCTGGCTGTCCTGGATCTCGCTCTGTAGACCAGGCTGGCCTCAAACTGACAGTGATCTGCCTGCCTCTGCTTTCCAAGTGCTGGAATTAATGGTGTACACCATCCTGGTGAATTTCTAAAGAGAGGTCTTCAGAAGCGAACATGGCCTTGTGTAGCTGGAGGACCCCACCATCATAGCGAAGTGACTGACCTAGGATGAAATTGCAGCCCGAGGTGCAGTGGCACTCTTCCCTTTTCTAAAAATGCCATTGGAAGTCATCATGCATATGTCAGCAGAAGCAACAGATACCGGAAATTGGTATTTGGAAAACTGAACTCCAGATGAAGTTCATCTGCAGCATCGTCTTCTGCTTCTCTAGAATGAGCCCATGAATCTGATGGTCAGGATGTTTTCATCCTTAGCTCCTCCCCTTTCGGTTTCGTGGTGAAGTTAGGAAAGATGAGTGATAGAGGCTTCCTAACACCTACACCCAAAGTAGATAGTGAGTCTGATGAGACTCCTCGTTCTCTTGTGTTTGAGATTTGGTGTTATAAATATTACGCTGAAAAATGCCTAGCCAAAAAAAATATTGTTCATATATAAAATGCAGCCTGATACCCAGTGGTGCTTTAAGTCTAATTCTCCCGTGTAGTTTTTGATTTATTTATGTGAGAACATTTAGCACATTATTTAATAGGTATATGTCACTGTATGGACTTTAAGGGTTTTGTTAAATATCTTAAGTAGTTTTGTTAAACAGTTAAAAAACTAAAGGGTTTTGCATTAATATGTTAAAATATTCCAGTTACAAGAATGGTTATAGGATCCCTAAATATTATGTTAGGTTGAAAATCTGTTGCTGGTAGAGAGAGGGTAGGAGGGATCAGGATTAGGTCTTACTAGGAACTTGCCTGGGGAGCACTGGTAGGAGGATTGGCTGATGCTTGCTAAGCAAATGTCCAGTTGAACCTGGCTTCTTAGAATTAGAAGGGATTATCTTTTCTTTGGCTCCTCCATTGACAGTGTGGGAGCTGGTGTCCCTATAGATTTAAAGTCAAGGTGCTGGTTAATGACTGATTTGAGTCCCAATTTGCTCTATCCGTGTCCTTGCCCAATGGTATGTTTAAAAATAGGTGATTTTTTTCAATGGGTGCTTAGGTTTTGATGCAACAATGTTTACTCTGCTAATATTTCTAAGGGTTTCTCCAGCAGCAGAGAGATTCCGTGAGTGGTATGTGGATTGATTTACAGCTCATGCCTTTATTTCTGTTAGTACTTTCCTACCATAAATCTGCCGAAGCAGAGTGGCATGTGTTTATTAAGTTCTCCGTATCATGTGCTTGTTTATTTTTGTAAAATGTTCTAGGATGTTAAAAATGCTTCGCTCATTATAGATCTGAGATTGGATGCTCTGTTGTTGTTTCTGCGTTTTTTCAGTGGCTGTGGTTAGATAGGTCGCTTGTTGCATTCTGAATGGCAACTACATAGAAGAAAATAGTCTGATTTTGGAACAAAAAAGCCTCTTGTTTTATGAAACTTTTGAGGGTTATGGATTTAGGATGTAAATTGGGAGTTATAAAAGTAAATATTTTGATTTACAATAAAACATTAAATTGGTTGCTTGTTTTCCCTAGAGTTTTAGATACTGAATTCAGCCAAACATTAGATAAATATATATGTTGCTACAAGGACAAATTATTTTGTTGAAGATACCATAAGTAAAAGGTCAGTTGTTATTTCTGCCTAATAATGTTTCTTTCTAGAAATGTAGAGGTTAGATATTCCAGATTTTATCTCAGTCTGCTTTGTGCAAATTTTTTTACCTCCCCCCTCTCCCCCCATCACATTTGCTGGTGTGCATGCACACATTGCAGTTTCCATATTTTTAAGGCATTGGGACTGTTTTCTGTTTCATTTTTTACCTGGAGAAAAGATAGCTCCAAGCTAAGTCCTGCGTAAAGCGAGTGAGAACTGCCATTTTTATTTTCAGTTCCCAAAGACACAGAAATAGGCTTGAGCACTCTGTCCAGAAAATCACACGAAGGAAACCATCTCCAGCTCTCCTTCTCCTGACAGCATCTGTCAAGAAATCTTGGGTTTTTAAATTATTATTATTATCAATTGCTTGCTTGCAAAACAGATAGTAAAATCCTGTCTTCCCTTCCTGACCGTTAGCCTGTAAGTAGGCTGCTTCCGTGAGCTTTGAGGATCATTTCTGCAGGCATTTGATAAACTTAGCTCACTTGGTTTTCCGTCAGTAGATAACACTGAATCTAGTGTTAAAATCTAGTGTATGAATACAGAATGTTTTTCTAAAAAAAAAATAAAAAAAAATAAAAAACCAAAAAGCAGAAAATGCTGCACTTTGTTTTTTGTAGTTATATGGACTGAAATGACACGTTTCTTAACTTTTAAAATATTAATAGTCATATTCTTTCCTGAGAATATCATCAGTATTCATATATCACATTTCACATAACACTATGAAATGTATTCACATATTAATACATTTGTTCATTCCAAAATATATATTAAACTTTTCAAACATATTGACAGGCTGCCGGTGTGTCAGGCATCCCTCTAAGTAGCTGAAGTAGTGTGCTGTTAACTCTGTGGTGCGTTGGATGTACCTAGTGTCTCTCTCACTCTCAGTAGCAGACAGATCTGCAGCCCCGTGTTCAGATGGGGACCCTCGGGCACAGAATGTTTGGATGGGTGCCCATGGCAACAATAAACTGTGTGGTGACTTCCTACTCAGAGCCCAGGAGCTAAACCCGGGGTCTTTTTTGTCACGTACACAGATAAAGACAGTTCAGGTGTTCACAGCACTTTCTGTCTTGGAGTTCTGATACGTTCTTAAAGGTATCCACTGCGTTTATTCTAACTGGGGAGAATTTTCTCCCACGTGTTTTGTGTCTTTGGTTTTTGTGCGTTGACTTGTTTGAGGGTATTGGAAGTGGTTTAGGTCATAGGGGTGGGGGTTGGGGGTTGGGGACATCTGCTGGATGAGGCTGTATTTGGGAGGGTACAGAGTTCTGAGCGTACAGTCCTCAGCTCTGGCCACATCCCTTCAGCCCTTCACATCTTCAGGGTCAATATGTGTGGTTGAGCCCGTGAAG